TTAGAGTTAATAGCCATAATATATATGCCAACAAATTGTCTTTAGCTTTCTCCATATGTTAATGTCCTCTAATCCTGTTATCAGTACAGCTAGTTGGACAAACAGTATGATAATAAAACAGTATTTATTATACATGTCCTTCAGTCCCAGATTAACCACAAGATTCCCCAAGCATCTAGGGATTTGATTTACCTACTGTGCACAAATTGCCAGTAAAAAGAAAAATATCCATGAAAAGATAGTTTTCTCCATACTGTACTGTTTACCATCCCCTTTCCTCTTGATCTATATGTGTGTCTCATCTATATAGCTTACTTATTCTAACCTTTGATGATAGTTTAATGCAAAGTTTGGGACCCTATCAATGCACTAGAGCTGTTTTCTGTAAGAACAAACATGCTTCTTTGTGTCCCCCCAGTGCTGCCCCCTTCATCATAACCAGAATTTTTTAAAAAAAAAAAAAGCTAGGAAATAAAAATAAGATCTCTTCCTGATGACTGCTACAGGTGCTTACTTAGTTCTAGATAAATACAACCCCCTTCCGCACAGCCCACCACTTTTTTTTTTTTTAATTCCTCTCAACGTGTCGTAGCTTTATATGAGGCTAATGGAGCAAGGCAATGCTCAAACGTCAAATTAAACTGCACAGCTCTGTAATCACTCAGACTGACATGGCATAAAAGGATAATTAGTAGTTCATTACATGGAACATTGTTTGTTCAGCTAAATTGATTTCTCTCAGCTGCCCATGTTTTCTGTTTACTTAGCGAGTGCTCCACTGCACATTCTTATTTGTGAACTAGGAAATCCCTTCCCCTGAACTTCCCCCCCGCCCCAATCAGCATTGGGTTTTTAAATATAGTTTGCTTGAGGTAGATGAACCTCCAAAATTACAGACAGGTGCATGGCAACAAAGGCCTGCGTGGAGTGATATGTCACACAAAACAAGCTGTGGTTAAGGAGAGCTACCCAAGTAGCCCTAGAAAGGGCCATGTGCATCCATCTGTTTTGTACATACAAGTTCCTAGCCTGGCTGTTTGCTTTTCAACTTACAGTGAAATTCTTTTCTCTCATAGTTGGAAAGAGAAAAAAAAGAAAAAAGAAAAATTGGGACTATGATCCTTCAACTTGGGGAGTGGAAAACTTGCAAAAAAATTCTTTGGTTCACTGGATCCCAGAGAAAAGCAAAGGTTGTTGTTTTGCACCTGGTTTTCTTTCCACTTGCAGTCAGGGTGGAGGCACAACTACACAGCTTCAAGTGTTTCTAAACTAGCTCCTCCGAGAAACCCATCAACTCACCCTGATTTCAAAACTTCTCAGTAGCTACAAGTAAATGAGTTGGAGCTAACATCCCCCACACTGTTACTCTCAGGCTCAATATACTTATATTTTTCTTAAAAACCTAAGTTCAGGGGCCATTTGGATTACCTTTTTTTAAAAAGTGGTCTTGTTTAAGCAGGAAATGTGAGTCCTAAAGAATCAAGAAACAGAAGAGAAGCAAATAACTAAGTGTTTTTTTTTTGAGGCCTAGTTACAGCCTCTTGGCTCAACGCTGCCTCCACTGTGCCCAGTTACCAGCAGATTCCCACAAAGTCCCACTTTCTCTGGACCCTACACATATCATATCCTGGTGTATGACTCCTCAAAGAGTTTTTTCAATTTGATTTCTAGAAGTGGTACTAAATTTGAGTTTTATTAACTCTAAATTCAATGACACCGAAGGACAAGTTTCTACTGTGGATGGCAATATCAAAACAAAATATTCCCATGCCCTGCTGCTTGTCCCTGCTTCCAAGGCTCACTTTGGTTTGTTGCCACAACAGCACGAAGTGGATCATAGAGCTGAAGCAGCTGAGAAAGGAAATCTTCCTTCATGCCAGGTTATTTTCCAGGAGGATCAGGCACCTTAGCCAATACACAACATGGATCCACATGGATCAGTGGGTGGGAGCTGCTAAGACTCAGTGTCATGAGCAAATGAGCACAGAGCTGTGGGTAAATCCACCCCTTGCAACATTTCTCCTCTTAAACAAAGAATAACAGCAGAACACCACCACCACCCCAGCAACAGCCACTGCCTCTCTGGACCCTAAAGCAGTGCCATGGCCAAGAGCACCTTACCAACCAAAAACTAACCAATTCTGCTCAAGTCATCCAAGTTTCTCTACATTTTGTTTTCCCCTCCTGTTTACTTTCAGGCACATAGAAGGAGTCCCTAAGAAACAGGTCCATTTTCTTTAGTAATTTTTTTTTTTCCTATCCATTGATGATCACCACCAGCATCCTTTGGTTGGTTTCTATCATCTCAACTCCAATCATATTCAAACATCATTTTTTTCCCCCTAGTATGATCCAACCATTTCCAAACTCATATTGAGGTTTCCACTTTGGGAATCACTTAGGTGCTCTGAACATTTGCTTGCTCAGTTAGGGCAGATACGCAATTAGCCTCTCAAAGAATAAGTCTGCACAGGGCCACACCATTATTGTGCACATGCTGTGACGTGCCTGGCCCCATGGCACCGGAGCACCACGCTCATTCCAGCCCCATAGCAAGCTCCCCCCAGCACATGTCACCCGGGAGAGCCACCCCAGAGACACTTGCTTTATACTGGCTGGGCCAGCAGCTGATTCTGCAGTTTGGCTGCTGAATTAAAACCTGTTTAGGAAAGGATGTTTGGGCAGAAGAGAGCGTATTCCTTTTCTCTTGAGAAAATGAAAAGCAAAGACATGAAGCTCAGCCTTCTGTGCTCCACAAGTTATATGGCTACTTCTGCCCCCAAACATAAAGAAATAAAAATATTGAGTAGTTGTAAGAAAAACAAAAGATGAAGAGATATCCCATAAGCAGTATCCTCCTTTAGTCTGCCAGCCCAATGACAGAGCCTGAACCAAAGGCATCAGCTACTCCGCTCCAATTCTTTCCTCAACTGAAACTATTTGAAAAAATGACTTAACAAATTTGTTTTCCACTTATGATTGCATTCAGTGTGATGGAATTTCATTTTTTGAAAGGAGCCATCTACTAAAAGAAAATCCTTCCAGGCTGAATCTCAACTGCAAACGTGAACAACAGTGACAAGGCTTCCCACAAGAGTGACAGCGCTTGAAGACCAATTCCAACAGCACCTCCTGAGATCTAACTCAGAAAAAGAAAGCGGAGTTCTCTCTGCAGTAAACCATCACTGTCTCAGGATGCTATATAATATTTGTGCTATTGCCAGCCCTACAGCACACACACTTTGGTGTAACTGTCTTGACCTACCTACAAATATGGAAGGAAACCACAGGCTATGCTGAGGGCTCTGTTTTGCCTCTCAAACACATTGCATCAATGGCCAGGACACGGTTTTCTTTTCCAGCAGCTGAACTCCAGAGAGGGAGCTTACTGTAGGGCTGGCTTCTGTGATGTTATTTTGGTTTGAGTCCTGCCCTGCCCCTGCTCAGAGCGGAGCCAGCAGCCGCTGAGCCACACTATCACAGCCTGATCTAACGTACCTTGCTCCTCAGCATGACCTGCTAGTTTCTCCCACACTAATGAAGCTTCTCGCCTGGAGCTGCCCAGCTCAGAGCAGGGGTGAATCACTGCCTGGGCCAAGCTGTGCTTCTCAAGATGGTTTTGCTGCTCCCCAGCTGTGGATACAGCTCTGCCCCAGATCCCACTAGAGCTATCACCATATCCTCCATGGAAGTTTTCTCTTGTTTCTGTGGGTCTCTTGCTGCTCATCTGAAATGTGGATTTGGAAAGTGGGCAGGATTTATTTTTGCTTCAGACCAATGAGAGTTTGTGCAGCTAAAATCCTCAGCAAATTGCTTGATCTCCAAATAGCTTTTAGTCATTCCTATGTTTTCTTTGCTGGAAAGCTCCCATAGCATGCAACTGTTATTACCCTCTCTGTCCCTGGGCAATTTGTTCACAGCAAACTAATTGCCTGCAAATCATTTGTTTTTATCCCAGACACATCTTTAAAGGGAGTTTCCACAGAGTGTTCCTGGCATTTAATACAAAGTTACCAGTCATAATGAAATCCAAACCAATCATTAGCTCATCTGCTATCTCAGCTATCCCAGACTTTTTCTTCCAGGGATCCAGATTTCCAAGTATTTGGATGGTTGCACCTTCCTCAGCAACTGTCTCCATTTAAGGGCAACTAGGTCATTTGGTTTTGGACATCTCACTGCATAGACTTCTTAATATGCCTGGCTCTGCTTGAGCCAGCAGCCACTGTCCCACGCATTTCCCAGATTCCATTGCCCATTCAGTATCCAAACTCCTTCTATGGTTATTTAGCTACCTAAAGCTGAACAAACATTTCTGCAGACTAACAAAGTTAATGAAGCCTCGTTTCCTACACAGTTACCTCTCATCATTGCCTTTGATGTCTGAGGATGAAGCTCCAGCTGAAGCATTTGACATAATTGGGCATTTATATGTTCTTTTTTCCCCTCTTTTTTTTTTCTCTCTCTCCTTTCCTATATTGATTTTCTAGAGTTTGGGCCTCTACCTCAGGGCTAATTGGACACCTCTTGAAGCCTGTAGGAAATTACTGATCTTTGAGATCTTTATATCCTTATCAAGTTGAAATATCAGCAAATGAATTCAAAAGTCATTAGCAGGGGCCACACAGATGGATGCAAAGAACACATCTGTATTAGTCTTTGGTCCCATGTGAAAACAGGAGAGCGGTGACCCTATGTTGAACAGAGGAACTCTTGCTATTGCATCTCATGCTGGTGGAAACTCTACCAGACTGGAAGAGGGATACTCACAGATACTAGTGACAATCCATCCAGACCTACCTTGAACAATCTTTTATATAGCACCTCTCACAATGCTGGCTTTTACTCCCAGGAAAGTGAGTTACTTCCCTGAGATATCACACTACTAATTGCTTCCATTTTACTAATAGAATTAATTTTTTCCTCCATTCTTTAAAAAAATACCTCAGCAGACCAGAATCCCCTTTCTCTTCACATGCACTTGACACAGATACACGTACTGCGCTCTTTGTAGTCATCTTCCATAAGGGTTGCTCTCGTCTGGTGCCTTTGTTGGAAGGAGACGTTGAAATTCCAGATTTTCTTGTGGTGCTTTTGGCCTCCTTTTCCTTATCTTGGTCTGCAAGCACAAGTCAAGCTAAGCATCAGTAGACCAGTGTTGCTTTATCCTACAACCTTTGCTATATCCCAGCAATACAAGTTTCTGCAAATCTTCTGCCAAGTCAGATAGAAAAGCCTCCATCTCTATTAATTTTCATCTGTCTACAATGCAAATTGATAACTGGCTTCATACCATCTATTTAGGACAACTAACTCAGACACTTTTTTGACGCTAAGTAGATAGGTATGTTAGTTCTGCAATTCCATCTTCTCCTTACAGATGGTGGATTTTTTTTAATAACACATTCAAACAACAGTGATATTTCTTAACTAGAATATAACAATCCCTTAAGAGTAATTCTACCACATAAATATTGACTGACTCAAGACATTTTGCCTGCAAATAGATGACAAGCTAACAAAACAGAGATCCAGATGCTGCTTGGACATCAGTGGAGCCAACCACCAGAAGACTCATGAGGTGGAATTAATCTATGCTAGAGTGTTCTCATAATAAAGAGTTGATTTTTGACACCTCTGCCAGACTTTAGCTTAACTGAAGAGATGCAAAAAAATATATATATAAAGCTTACTAATGAGTAGGTATTAAGCAACAAATGACTTCCCTCTCCATGGCATCCACATCTGTCCACTCATATGGAGCGTACTGCACTGAACAGCAATGCTGCTATGAACTATTTTTCCTGCGGAAGTGAACACATAATTTGAAAATAAGTGCAACTGAATCTTTGAGTGTTGCCATCTACCGTACGCAATGAAGCCTAGGTTTGTTAGTTAGGTACTTATTAGATAGATACTAATTCATCTGTTCTTTTTCTCAGTCCTTGTTACTTAGTTTGTTAGAAAACACAGCCAGAACTCCAGCAATATGTCCACACCATTTGTTCCTGTGAAAAAACTTCCCAAACTAAGACCTGTGAGGAAGCTACTCTTTCCCACTTCTTGTCCAGCTTACTGACGTGAGAGAACATGACTTCTGCCATGGCACAATGACTAATGAGGTGCTAGGGAGACAGCTCGCACTTGTGCGTCTGCTGGGGAGGCTGCACGAGGAGAAGCAAGTCTGGTGACAGAGCCAAACGAGCAACCGCCTCCGAGGACAGGGCAGTGGAAACTTGAGTCACACACCAAGGCTTGTTGGTTCTTTAGGCGTATTACAAGCTCATGCAAAGACTCTCACTGCTTAATGCCGTGAATGAAAATGGTCTCTCTGAAGCCAAGCAAGCTTCCCATGTGTATAGATTTTTTTAAAAAAATATGCAAGGACTCACAGACACAGAGCTTGAAATTCTTGTCTCTACAGATCTTCCTATGGACCTGTACAGTGCCAATTATATTCAAGAAATACCATCATTTTAATGAAGTCAATGCAAAATGCCAAAAAATTTGGAGGAGATGAGATTTGGGGGTCTTGTTATTTGGCCAACATAACACAAGTGGATTAAGCTTCAAATGAGCCAGATCACAATTGAAAGCTATGAAGGTTAGTGATCCTTACTTTCTGGATGGGGAAAATAGGTGTCTCTTGACAGAAGCTGATTTCAGCTTCTGACCATGGACAGTTTTAGCCACTGTATTTATTTTGGTCCAGGCCCAATATATAAAAGATGTTTGTTCCTATTCAGATTGCAACACAAGACTTTCATCCCTGATTTTACAAATAGCTCTCTAGGAGAGCGGGAGGGACTAATTGTTTCTCATTGTACTGTGTTTAGCCACAGACTAATTCAAGGTTACAATCTCTGGAAACTTAGAGAATAAGATATCAAAAGTACCCCAACAGACACAGTATCAACAATGGATTGAATAAATACACTTCCCCCTCTTGCAACAAGCCTAGCTTGGAAATGACCCAAGGATTAACTCTTTGTGCTCCCACCTGATTTCACAGTGCTTCACCTCTAGATCTTTTCTGCATTAATCACTGCAGGGCCACCGGGCCTCAGACAAGCCAATGGCTTTTGGGGGATGCTCTGCTGCTCCCCAAGCAACAGAGCCACAGCCAAAGGTTTGGATACAGCCCAGGTAGACAATAAACTGCAGTTGGGTCATCCCCAAAGTTTCCTTGTTTCTTGCTACATGAAAAATTCACTACAACCACTTCAAATAGGCAATTTAAAAAATGGCTCAGGTTTGAATTAATAAAATTAAAGCCTGCTAAAATTTAAGAGGAAAGGAAATGCCACTATAAATCAATGCACACTTGTAGAAGTGCTCTTTTTGGTCATGGAGAGAAAGATTAATGTTCTCTCCCTTTCTTCCACTGTGAGGGAAGTGTTTTCTTGGGCCCCGGATTCCTGGCGAGAAGATCTAAGGGAGGCGAGAGACAGGGCCATGGGAGAGCGGAGAAGGCACACAGGGTGCAGACTCCAGGAGTTAGGAAATGGGAGTTACGGAGCAAGATGGCCTATTTTCTATACTCTTTAATGTGAAGCCTGTTTTTTTTTTTTTTTTTTTTTTTTTTTTTTTAAAACCTCTCAGCAGGAATAGCAAAATTTTCCAAGTCATCACCTAGCAACAAAACCCAGAAAAACATTTGCAAAGCAGTTTTGCACCACTGCCATCCCTGGAAGAACTAACTTGAAGGCTGAATTTGCTATGGAGAGGAATTGAATGCTCTGTTCTCATTCAGAGTGCTGAGACATGCAGTCTTCTTTCACTGAGAACAGAAATTCATTAATGCGCACACACACATTTGGAGGTGGTCTCAGGCAGATTTTGTTGGACCATAGGGGTGTGGTTTCTGCTGAAAGCCAGTTGAAAACAAATGGGAACAATTTCTTTTTCTCAAGCAGGTCTTTTACAGCCTATCATCCAAATTACAGATTATGTTTATACATACTGTCACCACAGGGGATAACAGGCTCAATATTTCATCTCAGTCTATTTATAAAAATAGACAAATTTTAAAAATTTCAATTAAAAAAAATCCCTGGGTAGCAGAGCACTCCACCTTTGCTAGGTAACAGTTTCAAGTCAGAGCTAGCAGCCTACCTTATTACACCATACATTTCATGAGGTTAAATCATTTTTGTCAATACCTTTAGAAAGGCAGGAATCTGATTAAAGAGCATCTTTTTCTGATAAAGCTCCTCTCTTTCCTTGCCAATATACACATGGAATTTAATTTACAAACTGTGGATAATATGGTAGGCACGAAGCATCAGGCACTTTGGCACACCCTTTTCTGTCTTACTTCCAATAAAATGACATTCTGCATTCAGAAATCCTTCTGCTGGTAAGTTTTCAAGATCACTGAGCACTTTAACTGTCATGATAGATGACGGGAGCAAGAACCTACACGATCTGCTACAAAGGGTCTATGTGCCTAATGCAGACCTGTACCTTCTCAAAGGTACTCAGGTTTGCTCAGAGCATCATTAACAGCAATTTCCTCGCAGGACAGAGACACGACAGTTCAGAGTCCTATAATACTATAACTTTGTCAGCACAGAATTACACTATATTGATCAATGTAGGCTCTTGGTAAAGTTGATCAGTCCTGCTGTATCACTGTGCTGACTTGTGCTTCTAGTTTTGGTCAGCATCACCTCAAGTGTTTCTGCACCACTTAGCACTGCAAAGTGAAGGCAGATTTTTTTTAATTCTCCCTCCATACTTAGAAAGACTAGATATATTATTGGTTAAGGAAAAATCAGTCAATAGCTTAGCTGCTTAGTGATCATACTACTTATACTTAGATGGTTATCCTTCCTTGTCTATTACAATAGAACACTGTTAATGGACCAGCTCCTAGACTAGCATGTATACTGAGTGCAGAGCTGAGCAAAAGTTATGCATAGTTCAACATGACAATTAACCTCCAAATATCCCCAAACCAAGCTGTAGCACATTTCTGAGAGGCTCCAATTGTTATCCATAATCACGTTAGTCCAAGACTGTGAAGAGAAGAAGAAACTACCTGAGGATCTAGGTTTGATCCCACATTGGTTGTACATAGCCTTACAGTCTTCCTCTTGAAGGGCTGGCTACGTTCCCCCTCCTTGAAGAGGTTTTACCACAGCTTCTAACTATCCCTTGTCATATTTTCTGCTACTATGACTTTGCCTGTTTTCCCAGCTATCTTCCAACAGTGAGAAGCACATGGAACTCCACAGGGGTGGCAGTGAAAACAAAATCATACAGAAACCTGCCCATCTTCTTGAGGAATGTTTGCAAAGACAGAGTTCCTCTACTCACCCACCTCTTCTTTTTATGCAGCAAAATATATGGTTAATGCTGAGGTCTCAAAAATCTTCCCAAAGTGTTCCTAGGCCTTGGGGAGCAACAACATAATCGCCGGTTTGTGACCAACCCAGCAGGGGTTAAGTACTCCTACACAGTTTGTTCAGAGGACTTGCTGCTCGCTTGCTCCCAGCTTTATGCACTGAAGCCAGGGGGGTAACAACCATGCAAAGCTGGTGTAATGGAGGGAAGAATCAGGCCCTTCATCCCCACGTCGTTCAACAGATCCTGCTTTGTCAACTGTGGTTCCTTGCACAGCCAATGCCTGAACTTGCAAGCACAAGAGGGAGGACTGACCCTTAGAGTCCTCATTTCTCTCATTTGATCTCAGCAAACCTTTCATCCTGCCACTGCTTCCTCTCGTGTTGTGTCTCATCTTTTTAACATCTCTGTGTAACCTTGACTTAGCCACCATTCACAAGGCTAGCAAGGGCAAATGCAATCTATGGAGGGGTTGCTTTCCCCTCCCAAATCATCTTCGGCATTACCCTTCTCTGTTCTTCTTGCTCTGATTTCTTATATCCATTTTTTCTTCAAACCTGTTACCAGGTGGACAGTGGTTGTTAGCTTAAGATGAGAAGATGGGCCTCTTTCAGGAATTGACATTGCTGTGGAATACATGGCCCTGTCATTCGTGGACTGCAAATTTAGGGTTGAATGAGTTATGCTATCAATAAAATTCTGATAACTGCCAAGCTGTAGAGAAAACAAGAAGCATACAACAAACATCACACATAACCCTGTAATTGTGTT